CCTTATCCCCATGGTAACTCTTCCAGGAATGAATTTCTCTTCCTAGCAGTAGATTTCCTTTCACTGCCTGTTGCCTCACCTCCATTCTTAACTACGAGTTTTATATGACTTGGGGATTGCCTATATTGCTCTAAAAGGATCATCACGTATATTTGCGGAAACCAGTGCTCATCTCCGGCACTGGGAGAGGTGCTTTTCTCCATTTCCAAGCCAAGGAACCTGCATTGTCCATAGACATCTCCTGATCATGACTACATGGAGAATGTTTTTGCCTTTTCCCGCATGTTTTCAAACTGCTAGGTTGGCAGGAGCTAGAGCTAATAGCGGGAGCTCACCCCATCCCGCGGATTCAAACTGCCAACCTTCAGGTCGGCAGTTCAGCAGCACAAGGGCTTAACCCATTGCACCACCCATGGTAAGTAAGAGTTGGGGCCTTATGGCACACAAAGCAGTTGCCAATTTTTAATGCACTAGAATCTGGATCTAAAGATGTAACACTGTGACAGAGCGATGAGGAAGTAAACACATCTGAGATGAGTGGTGCCGAGGACAGCATGTCAGATAACAAAACCAAGTATAGTGGCACAGAATCTTAAAACCCAGAAGATTACTTCGTACTAATCATAGTCCTAATCTTGTACCAAAGATTTTGTTGTTTATTCAGTCGCTTCCGAATCTTCGTGACCTCATGGACCAGCCCACGCCAGAGCTCCCTGTCGGCCGTCACCACCCCCAGCTCCTTCAGAGTCAAGCCAGTCACTTCAAGGATACCATCCATCCATCTTGCCCTTGGTTGGCCCCTCTGCCTTTTTCCTTCCATTTTCCCCAGCATCATTGTCTTCTCTAAGCTTTCGTGTCTTCTCATGATGTGGCCAAAGTACTTCATCTTTGCCTCTAATATCCTTCCTTCCAAAGAACAGTCAGGCTTTATTTCCTGGAGTATGGACTGGTTGGATCTTCTCCAACCAGATCCAAGGCACTCAGAATATTCCTCCAGCACCACAGTTCAAAAGCATCTATCTTCCTTTGCTCATCCTTCCTTATGGTCCAGCTCTCACATCTGTAGGTGACTACGGGGAATTTCATTGTTTTAACTATGCGGATCTTTTGTTGTCAGTGTGATGTCTCTACTCCTCACTATTTTATCGAGATCAGTCATTGCTCTCTCCCAAAAAGTAAGCGTCTTCTGATTTCCTGGCTGCAGTCTGCATCTACAGTAATCTTTGCACCTAGAAATACAAAGTCTGTCACTGCCTCCACGTTTTCTCCCTCTATTTGCCAGATATTAATCGATCCAGTTGTCATAATCTTAGGGTTTTTTTTATAGTTTAGTAATAAATAAAGATAGTTTAATAATAAATGATGTTTAATTAATACTGGCACTTTTTCAAAGAGTTTCACCTAATGCTTGCACCCCAATTTTTTGGCCAAAAACATTGGCATCAAATCTGCAATAATGATGAATATGATACGTCTGTTTTCTTTTGTGTTTTGGGAAAAGATGTGGATGCGAAACTTTACGAATTGAACTTGAATAACTGGAAAGGTGGGGGGGGGGGGTGTTTATATATTGTTTTCTTTATACCAAGTGTTTCAAAGTGCACAGAGATTAAAAAGCATTCTTGTTTGACTTGAGAATGGCATTGTGCTTCCATCAGTCAGGAGATAAAGTCTTTTTCCAAGGATAATGTTCAACTAGCAGTTGCACAACAGCTATAAAGAGCATAGCTTCAGGGTTGATTTGACAGGAGATGTACACACCATGCTCTTTGAGATTTACGGTATACTCCTACACATCTCTAGCCCTTTTTAAGTTGTGGCTGAACAACTTACTCGTAGATGAAGTGAATTCCTTTTAACCTAGCAAAGGCTGGCTTCAGGCAAGGTCTGTAGAAAGAGCAGGAGGTTGAATAACAATTCTCTAGCAAAAAAAAACAAGCATTAGGACAATGATATACCACATATAGCTTGTAGTCCTCTGGATGATGTTGGGCTGCAACTCTCATCATCCACCACCATTCATGATGCTAGCTAGAGCTGAGATGCATTCCAGGAGGGCTACAAACTGACCCGTTGCATATACACTGTAGAAAACAATGCAATCTGACACTGCTTTCACTGCCGTGGCTCCATGCTATGGAATACTGGGAGTTGAAGTGTTACAATTCTTTAGCCTTCTCTAAAGGCCGGAGCCTTGCCAAATAACAATTCACAGGATGCCATAGTATTGAGCCAGGGCAATTAAAGTGGCATCAAACTGCATTAATTCTCATTGCAGATGCATCCATAGTCATACCGAGTTGGAGCAACCTTTACTCATACCAACAACAAGTACATCATATTGAATTCATTGGTGGTTACTTGGAGTAAATTGATGTTGACGATGCTGCTGTTTTTTTATTGTATTTTTTGTTTGTTTGTTTGCTTGCTTTTTACATGTTGTGTGCTGTTTTGAGTCCTGATCTTGGAGAAAAGCGGGATAGAAATATATAATATAATATAATATAATATAATATAATATAATATAATATAGGTCATGTCAAGACAACATAACCTAGTAATTTAGAGCACAGATCCTTCCATTAAGAGTTTGCAGAATAAACCGATTTACTGGTGAAGATAAGAATTTATTTGACCGTAATGGACTGATTTGGATGACAATTTTAACCTGGCAGACTGTTTTTAATGTATATTTATAACTGTTTTAATGTATATGGTTGTATTTTATGATATGTTTTATATTGTGTTGGCACTGAATGGGGCCTGTTGGAAGCTATCCTGATTCTCTCTTCAGAAGTTGAAAAGGACGGGGTATAAATGTTTCAAATAAATACATATATATATACGTAATCTACAACCCCATTCTAAACTATGCTGCTGCCACCTTAGGGTGTTGGATGGCAAGTCCCATGCCCAATCAGCATCACCTTTTCATCCAACACAACCCAGAGAACAGCAGAACTACTTCTAGAACTCAACAAACAACAAGAAGTAAGAAGTATGTCTTTTTCCATAAGATCTCCAGTAACCCTTAAACAAGAGCCAGGAAACTCGGGCAGCAAGTTCAGCAGCTCAGCGGTTTACCCCTCTGCGCTACTGGGGGGAGGAGCTAATAATATCATATAAATTATAAAAAAATAAATGAAATAAAAATTTAAAAATACAATTTTAAATTGTTGTTTATTTGTTCAGTTGCTTCTGACTCTTCATGACCCCCTGGACCAGCCCATGCCAGAGCTCCCTGTCGGCCGTCACCACTCCCATTTCCTTCAAGGTCAAGCCAGTCACTTCAAGGATACCATCCATCCATCTTGCCCTTGGTCGGCCTCTCTTCCTTTTTCCTTCCATTTCCCCCAGCATCATTGACTTCTCCAAGCTTTCCTGTCTTCTCATGATGTGGCCAAAGTACTTCATCTTTGTCTCTAATATCCTTCCTGCCAGTGAGCAGTTGGGCTTTATTTCCTGGAGTATGGACTGGTGGGATCTTCTTGCGGTCCAAAGCACTCTCAGAATTTTCCTCCAGCACCATAGTTCAAAAGCATCTATCTTTCTTTACTCCGACTTCCTTATGGTCCAGTTGTTGCATCCATAGGTTACTACGGAGAATACCATTGCTTTAACTACGTGTATCTTCATTGTCTCTACTCTTCACTTTTTTAATCGAGATTGGTCATTGCTCTCCTCCCAAGAAGTAAACTTCTGATTTCCTGGCAACAGTCTGCGTGTAGTAAATAAAATAAAAAGTTAGTTAAAAAAAAAAAGACAGACCCTGTATGAACTTGTAAACAAATCGGGGCCAGCTCTGGTTAGTACTTGGATGGGATTTCAGAGGAAGGAAACTGGCACAAGCACCTCTTGAGTACCCATTGCCTAAGGAAACCCTATGAAATATATGTTGGGGGGGGGGGGTCGCCATATATCAACAGGTAATAGAATCATACAATTATAGAGATGGAAGAGATCTCATAGGACATCCAGTCCAACCCCCTGCCAAAAAGCAGAAAAATTGCATTCAAAGCACCCCCAACAGATGGCCATCCAGCCTCTGTTTTAAAGCCTTCAAAGGAGCCTTCACCACACTCCGGGGCAGAGAGTTCCACTGCTGAACGGCTCTCACAGTCAGGAAGTTCTTCCTAATGTTCAGACAGAATCTCCTTTCTTGTAGTTTGAAGCCATTATTCCACGTCCTAGTGTGCCTTCCCAGAATAAGGAAACCCTAAGCAACATGTCCCTAAGCGCACTTTACTAATGATCTAGGATTGTCTTCTCGCTCCATCTCTCTCCAAATACCTATCCTAGTTATATGTTGCCTTGTCATGCCCAGCATTTTTTAAATTTTAATTATTACATTTGGCCCTGCCATAGGTTTTTAATGCGCCGTGGTGTTATTGTTACTGTTTATTGGTTTGTTTATGAGTTTATTTATTGTTTGTATTGCTGTTGTTGCTTTTTTATTGATGTATTTGGGCTCGGCCTCTTGTAAGCCGCACCGAGTCCTTCGGGAGATGGTAGCAGGGTATAAATAAAGGTTTATTATTATTATTATTATAGTCCAGGGCAGCAGAAAACAAGCTTGCTCCCTCCTCCCTATGACTTCCTCTCACATATTTATATATGGCTATCATGTCTCCTCTCAGCTTTCTCTTCTTCAGGCTAAACAAGCCCAGCTCTTTAAGCCGCTCCTCATAGGGCTTGTTCTTCAGACCCCTGATCATTTTAGTCGCCCTCCTCTGGACACATTCCAGCTTGTCAATATCTCTCAGTAATGTATAAATCCTCCCAGTGACTGAATGAACCAACTCAAGAACTAGCCAGGCCTGGCCCTGCTCCCTTCCCAAGACCAGATGGCACCTGGAACCTTGAGGATATTGACGCTTTGGGAGTCCCTCCTTAACTCCCACTCCTCCCTCTTCCCTGCAAGGAAACATCTAAGGCCTCACTTTGCCCCCTCGTTCCCCAGCAACATCCGGGTCTCCGGGGCAGTGGGCGGGGCTTGAGAGGCCCCGCCCCCTCGCCTCTGCCTCCTGAGCAGCTTCAAGAGCAGAAGCTGCGGCAGTGCTTTCCGAGCTGCGTCTTCCTAAGGAGCCGCCCCTCGCTTCACACCCTTGTAGGTGAGAGAGAGAGAGAGAGAGAGACCTCATTGGGAGGGCAGGGGGTGTTAATGCACTTCGACAGCTCTTAAATTGCAGGGGCTCAAGTCTATGGCATCCTGGGATCTGTAGTTTGGAGAGGCACCAGCCCTCTGTGGTAGGGAAGGCGCAGGACCTTGTCGAACTACAGCTGCCAGGACTCCATAGGATGGCAGTCAAAGCTATTGTTCTGCAGTAGAGGTACCCTCAAGGCAGTGCATTTACACTGCAGAATTAATGCAGTTTGACACCACTTTAGCTGTCATGGCTCTATGCTAAGGAATCTCGGGAGATGTAGTTTGACAAGGTCTTTTGCTTTCTCTGCCGAAGAAGGATGGGGCCTCTCCAAATTACATTAATGCATTAATGCACTTTGACAGCCCTTTAATTGCAGGGGCTTGATGCTATGGCATCCTGGGATCTGTAGTTTGGAGAGGCACCAGCCCTCTGTGGTACGGAAGGCGCAGGACCTTGTCAAACTACAGCTTCCAGGATTCCATAGGGTGGCAGTCAATGCTGTGTCAAACTTCATCGGTTCTGCACTGTAGATGCACTCTCAATGTGTCTACACTGCAGAATTAATGCAGTTTGACACCTATTTAATAGTCATGGTTCTATGCTATGGAATCTTGGGAGATGTAGTTTGACAAGGTCTTTTGCTTTCTCTGCCAAAAGGGGATGGGGCTCTCCCAAGCTACAGCTCCCAGGATACAATAGAATTGAGCAATGGCCGTTAAAGTGGTGTCAAACTGTTTTAATTCTACAGTGTAGACCAGGCATGGGAAAACTTCGGCCCTCTGGGTGTTTTGGACTTCAACTCCCACCATTCCTAACAGCCGGTAGGCTGTTAGGAATGGTGGGAGTTGAAGTCCAAAACACCCGGAGGGCCGAAGTTTGCCCATGCCTGGTGTAGATGCACCTCCAGTCCTGGCTTTGTGGCTGTTTTGCATTTTGTCCCAAATTTCTAGTTTTCCGCTTCTTTTGGACTTTAGCTCTCAGAATCCTTGATTGTTGACCTTTGGTTGCTAATGGTGAATTTATACTGTGAACTAATGTGGTTTGTCAACCACTTTAGTTTTCACGTCTCCTCACTACGGAGTCCCGGGAGATATAGTTTTACAAGAGAGATATAGTTTTTTCTTGAGGCTTCTGGGAGTCAAAGTACAAAACAACTGGAGGAGGACTAGAGGTTGGGAGTGTCTACTGGGCTGTTGGTACTTTCCTCTTCTTCGGAGGTTTTTGAGCAGAGGCTGGATGGCCATCTGTCAGGAGTGCTTTGACCGTGGCAGAAAAGAGTTGGACTGGATGGCCCTTGTTGTCTCCTCCAACCCTATGAGTCTTGCTTCTAAGGTCATTCCCATTCAGGATTTTGCTGAAACAACAGGATGCTTGTTTTTTCAGAGGAGAAGCCAACCTTCGCAGTGGCCCAATTTTTCACTGATTAGCATAATCTTTGTAAACATTCTGAGCACAACTTATTTAGCAGCAAAAACAACAAGGAGGACTTCGTCACCATACGGCGAGAAATTGTTTATGGTCTCAATGGAATCCCATTCACAAAAATGTATGCAATACCATGGCAGAGGTGTCATGGGCAGGAATGGAGAATTTGTTGGGACTGCAGCTCCCAGCAACCCCAACCAGCAGAGCTAAGGGGAAGAAGCAGTATGTGACAATACCTGGAGGGGTGCGGTTGCTCGGCCCTGGTTATGTATGGAGTCCTTGTTTACAGGCCTCCTTAGGCAATTGGGCTTCATTGATATTAATATAAATTGATGGACAGCCTTTCTGGAGTCACAGGATGCATCATTGTTTTTGCTGCATGAGTGTCTCTTAAGAGATGGTTCCTTGGAACAGATTGTCATAAGATTTATGTCTACTACATAACATAATTAAATTATGTAGCTGTTGTATTGACTTATCAAGTAAGAGTTAGTTTCTCAGGTATGATCAGCTTATATTGAGGTTACTTATTAGTATTCCATATTATTATTATTATTATTATTAGTAGTAGTAGTAGTAGTAGAAGTATTAGTAGTATTGATTTATTTATACCCAACATTGGAGTCCCTGGTGGCACAGCAAGTTAAAGAGCTGAGCTGCTGAACTTGCTGACCGAAAAGTCAGCGGTTTGAATCCAGAGAGTGTGAGCTTCCGCTATTAGACTCAGCTTCTGTCAACCTAGCAGTTCAAAAACATGTAAATGTGAGTAGATCAATAGGTACTGCTTCGGCATTCCATGCAGTCATGCCGGCCATATGACCGTGGAGGTGTCTATGGACAACGCCGGCTCTTCGACTTAGAAATGGAGATGAGTACCAACCCCCAGAGTCGGACACGGCTAGACTTAATGTCAGGGGAAAGCACAGTGGGTTAAACCCCTGTGCCGGCAGGACTGAAGATCGACAGGTTGCAGGTTCAAATCCGGGGAGAGGCGGATGAGCTCCCTCTATCAGCTCCAGCTCCTCATACGGGGACATGAGACAAGCCTCCCACAAGGATGATAAAAACATCAAATCCTCCGGGCGTCCCCTCGGCAACGTCCTTGCAGACGGCCAATTCTCTCACACCAGAAGCGACTTGCAGTTTCTCAAGTCACTCCTGACACGACAAAAAAAACCCAAAAAAAACTTTCTCTCCTAAACAATATTCAAAGCTACATACTTCCAAAGAAGTGTTTTTTATTTGGGGAAAAAAACACCAGTCCACTGAGCTCAGTTGTGCTTACTCCTAAGTTAGTGGTTTGGGAATAATAATAATAATAATAATAATAATAATAATAATAATAATAACAACAACACAACTTTATTTTTATACCCTGCCACAATCTCCCCAAGGGGACTCAGAGTGGCTTACAAAGGGACAAGCTCGAAGATTACAGATAAAAACAAACACATTAAAATAAATCAAATAAAAACATAACACAATCACAAAGCAATGTCATAAGAACAATATCATAGAATCGTAGAGTTGAAAGAGACCTCATGGGCCATCCAGTCCAACCCCCTGACAAGAAGCAGGAAAATTGCATTCAAAGCACCCCAGACAGATGGCCACCCAGCCTCTGTTTGTATCATGGCTGAAACAAAAATCGAAGCCGGGTTAGGACTCAAGTAACTGCAATGATTCCTAAGTAGAGCCAAGGGAAAGTGCAAAAATTCAAATGGGCCGGGCTAGAAGGGAATACTCTTAGCCGCAAAGTGTCGAGGTTACCAGAAGGAGCTTAGATAAGGTCGAACCAGGTGAACAGCCTAATCAAAAGCACAACGGAACATCTAGGTTTTTAAGTCATGTGACCCTCCAGATATTGTTGAATTGCAACTTCCATTAGCCCTAGCTGGCATAATTAGTGGTCGCGATTGCTGGGAGATGTAGTCCTGCAACATCTGGAGGGCCACATAATGCCAGCCCACAGTGCATGGGATTGTATCTGGATTTTTTGGACCAAATGTGTTTTACTTTGAAGTTAGCTGCAGCTATTAATTTCCTGGTAATAATGATAATAATAATTTGATTTCTTATGCATGAGATAGGGCCCAACATAATTAAAATGCATTAACAAAATGAAGGACCATAAACATATATTTAAAAAACATAGAACACAGATTAAAATACAAATGTAAACTTAAAATGCATAGTTTAAGGCTAACTGGGTAGGTTTGCTGGAGGAGGTAGGTCTTCAATTGGTTTTTGAATTATGACATCGCCTTTATCTGTCGAACCTCTTCCAGCAGGTCATTCCACATTTTAGGGACAGTGGATGAAATAGTCCTCTGTGTGACTGTTGCCAGCCAGGTTGTGCCTGTTTGAAGCTAATGTTTCCTAGAGGACCTAAGTGTCCAGAGTGCGTTATATGGGTGAATGTGATCCTGTAGATAACCTGGACCCAGACCATGTAGGACTTCAAAGGTTATAACCAACACTTTGTACTTTGCCTGTAAGGTAAATATGTATAGCGCTGCAATCCTAACTTGCAGAGTCAGTTCTGATCTTATCTTCCCCAGGAGGCAGATGGCTACTTCTGTTCTCAATAGAGAATGAACTGAGACAGAGAGATTGCAATGTGCCTGTGATCTCTTACATGAGTTGGGCTTTTTGGCTAAGTGCCCATCTATACTGTAGAGTTAATGCAGTTTGATACCACTGTAACTTCGATAGCGCCTTTGAATTTACAAGTTCTCTTATTACTGGCTTGCAAGTGGAGTTGCCATGTCTCTTTAGTCTACATTACTAAAAAAAACAACCCTAAGCAAAGAAAGAATTGAATGACAATTCTCTTCTATTTTGTATGTTGTTTCAGGAGAAAAGATGACCTACTCTGAAAACAAAAGGCTAATATTTGGCCTAATGGCAGGGGCTGCTGGAATAACTTTGTTGGTAATCTGGTATCGTAAAACAAAGGAACACAGGAAAACCGTATATTCGCCCACATTTGCAAATCCAGAGAAGAGCTTTGATTTAATAGATTTTCCATACGACGCTCATCATGATCAAGGCACAGTGATGCTCTTGCAAGGCAGACAGCTTCAGATCCTGGAGAAATTGAATGGCTTATTGGTGAGTGTGGACAAGCTTAAAAAAGAGGTGCAGTCTTTAAAGGAAGCGCTTCCAAAGTTGGAAGAACTTGTTCGAAATGAACTCGAAGGCAAAGCTGATGTTCGCAGGACCAGCCCTTTACATAGAGCAACAAAGAAGAGGAAGACTGAAACGGCCCAAGGAGGGACGGACACCACCAGTTCTGAAGAGGCAGAAAGTGAAGGCGGGTGGGTATCTCAACATATTTCAAGTCTGTCCCAACTTTTAATAAAATATGTACATTTTGGTGCAGGGACTACTTAAGTTTCATGTTAAAATTTTCAGATTGTTTAGTCATTCTTTTCAGGAATATAAAGGTTAAGATAACGATTTTCCCCTGATATTAAGTCCAGTAGTGTCCAACTCTGGGGGTTGGTGCTCATCACCATTTCTAAGCCGAAGAGCTGGCGTTGTCCGTAGACACCTCCAAGGTCATGTGGTCGGCATGCCTGCATGGAGCAGTGCTATATAAGCACCAGAAAATACTGACTTGCTGAGATGTTGAACAGTCCTTGATTCAACTGCTTGGTGTTGTGTGACTGAGACTTGTCATCCAGTGCAACTATGTAAAGGAGACTTCTAGCTTGGTTCTTTTTGCAACTAACTCTGTTACGTGATGTTATTCCTATTGGGGCCATTTGTGCTCAGTTTTATCTAATTTGTCCAAGCAAACATCCAACTAAGATTTAGAATCCCATTTTGTTTGAGTAGGCCTTAGTTAAAACTTAACTGCAGTTTGTTGTTTAGTCAATATAAACTTTGGTTAGTTGAAAGCAAAAGCAAACATGTGGTATTTTGTCATAATTTAGAGAAAAACCTTTTAGCATTGTATATGAATCATGCCATGGGATGAGGGAGAAATAACGTTGGGAAAGAGTTCCATAAAATGAAGTTTTACTATTGCTTTTGGATAATAAGATGTTTTAGGAATTAGTGTTTAAAGAAGACGAATTGCTTCTGCAGGCTGTGCAAAGTTGAGTTGATTAGACATATCTAATCCTTCTCGTTTTGACCTTTGTATGACTTGCTCGGGTTTTGCTTTGCCTAACCTCTAGTAACCTGTGATATAATTTGTGTCCCTTATTCTTGTCTTATCTTTAAAGCAATTGACAATGGCAAATACAATTCCTGTGGTGAAACTTAATTCTTCTTCTTTAGTGCCTGCAGCTTTGCGAATAAGCCTTAATCTGACATTGGATATCTCTTGCTCCTAGATCGCTTTTCAGTGCTGATGCTGCATGGAAAGAGCTTAAATAGTTAATTCCATCTAGATGTAAAACGTAAAGTAGGATAAAGGCAACATGCCAGGAGTCAAACTGATCTCATGGCCATTGTCCTATGGGGTCCTGCAAGGCTCAGTATGAAACCATTGGGAGACATCAGCCGGAGTTGTGGAGTTTGGTGGCATCAGTATGCAGATGACACCCAACTCTACTTCTTCTTTCCACCAAAAGCCAAGGAGCAGCCCAGACCCTGAACCAGCGCCTGTCAGCTGTTGTGGACTGGGTGAGGACAAACAAATTGAAATTGAATCCAAACAAGACAGAGGTCCTTCTGGTCAGTCGTAAGACAAAGGTGGTAACGTGTGTTGGATGGGGTCACACTCTCCCTGAAAACACAAATCCGCAGTCTGGTGGTCCTCCTGGACTCATCGCTAAGCCTGGAGGCCAGGAGGGCCTTTGCACATTTAAAATGTGTGTGCCAGCTGCGACTGTACCCTGAGAAGCCAGGGTTGGCCATTGTGGCCCACGCCTTAGTTACATCCCATTTCGACTACTGTAACGGGTTCTACATGGGGCTGTCCTTGGAAACACTAACTACTTCAGAGATCTGCAGCCAGGTTATTGACAGGTGCTGGACCCAGAAAGCATACAACCCCCCCCCCCACCCCCACCCCGGTTACAGCACCTACACTGGCTGCAGATATGTTTCTGAACCTGATTCAAGGTGCTGCTTTTGACCTTTGAAATCCTAAACAGTTCAAGCCCAATTTACCTATCTAACTGCATTGCCATTTACCAACCTGCCCAGTCATTAAGATCTTCTGAAGAGACCATTCCCTTTGCCGCCGGCGTCACAAATATGGTTGGCAGTAACGAGAGAGAGGCCTTCTTGGTAGCTGCCCTGGCCCTTTGGAACTCCCTCCCCATTGAGATTAAAACTGCTCCTTCCCTGTTATCTTTCAAGAACCAGTTGAAGACCTACCTGTTCAAGGAAGCTTTTGACAAATGAATTCAATTGCTAATGACAGTAAGGTTGATTTGCACTGAGCTTAGCAAAATATACTATTTAAATGTTGAGTCTCCACAATAATTGTTACTGGTTTGAAATGTTTTGAATGCTTAATATTTATTTATTTCTTATTTATGGACATTATTATGCTTTGTATGATTTTATTTTGTATTTTACATTAAATATGCTTTGATTTGTATTTTATTCAGTTGTTTGGGGGTTTTTTGTGTCAGGAGTAACTTGAGAAACTGCAAGTCACTTCTGGTGTGAGAGAATTGGCAGTCTGCAAGGACGTTGCCCAGGAGTTGCCCGAGCTGCTTTGGGTCCCATTAGGGAGAAAAGCGGGATATACATAAAGTATTATTATTATTATTATTATATAAAATATGCGTGCACTGTCACATATAGTATTCAAGGTGTTTGTTAATGTCCTATATACCATGAATTTAAAATGTACCTGCCCTTTTCACAAATCTATTACAGTTTCCAATTATATATTTGTATTAATGAAAAGTTAACAAGACAAGGCATTTTAAAAGGTAACAAAACAGACCCACCCATTTTAATGGGGAAAGAAAGGAGGAAGTGGTTCTTAATTGTAGTAGCAATCCCCCAAAAACATATTTCAGTGAATCAGAAACTCTCTTTTCTCCAAATGTCACTGCGTGACTCCTTCCAGCAACTCTGACCATTCACTATTCTGGCTGAGCTATTGGAATTTATCAATACTCTGAAGGGCTATAGACTCTCCATTCTTATCTTATATTTAGATAATGAAAAGTCTGTGTTCCTGCTAACCTTTGTGTTATAATAATTTACGCAACCTTATGATAAATACAGTCCATTGCATGTTGGACTTTTAATGCAAACTCATTAGTATTAAATTATTTAATTGAATAACAATTAGCTTTTAGGTTTAAAATAACTTTCAGATTGAGAAAATGTCTGACTAAAACAGTGAGGTTATTAAATTAAAATTGTCAAGAATATTTATTCTGGATCTTGCTTTAGAATCAGCATTATTGCTAATGCCTGTTTGCACCATTCTGCATGAGTACAATTTGTAATATTGTTGTCTCTTTTTTTTTAATGCTGCTGACAGATGTATCAATATTTAATTCTGTTCCACAACTGCAGCAAATGGATCTCGGGAAGTGAGCACCTTCCTCAGCAAACTGAGTGGCACAATGTTGTCTTTTTGACAGTGTTGCCAGTTGCATCCCATTTCCATGTTGCTATAGTTTCACAGGGGCTGTGGTGGTGCAGTAGGTTAGACCGCTAAGCTGCAGAGCTTGCTGACCGGAAGGTCGGTGGTTCAAATCCATGGGATGGAGTGAGCTCCCATTGTTAGCCCCAGTTTCTGCCAACCTAGCAGTTAGAAAACATGCAAATATAAGTAGATCAATAGGTACCATTTTCGCTATCCATCATTCTGCTGACCCGTTGATGTTGGATATGCAAGACTCTACTGTATTTATTTATTGCCTGAGATAACCCCTCTGTAGGAATCTTTAGGTCCTTCAGCATGGCTCCTGAAAACATTGGGCACAGATTCACAATGGAGAACCTAGAGATTTCTAGAAAGAACATTTTAACCAAATCTCTGAATAATCATGTCAGCAGAAGTAGACAGCACTTCACTAAAATCGAAGGACTGAATTAAGGATTTATTGAAAATTGGAAGGAGTCTTTTATACTTCGTTTTACAAATATGATTTACTGCTTTTTTTACATGAGATATTTTTACTCCATATGCACATCACAGTATTTGAATATGAAAAACATGTCTATGAGAAAGAGATAGGCAAGGGTCAAACAACCATAATAGGCTGTGAGTACCAAAACCCTGGATCTTTATGCATATGAAGTTAATTCAAACCTTTAATGTGATCAGTGCATGGACACAGAGAAACTGTGTGTGTCATGGGAGACAATCCACAGATCCAGTTCTGGCTGCAGATCTCACTAGCAAAGCTCCCTAGTATAGTGCTTTGGGGAGAGACAGTGTATGTAAGATAGAACAGATCAAAGATCCCGTTTTGTCCTGAATTAGCAGTATGTCTACATGTAAGGTGCTCCTTCTTGCATTAGGAGAAGTTAATGAAGTTTAGAGCTCGCATTGTGATTTGCTTTTTATATCACCTGGATGACAGCACTTCACCTTCCCTTCTCTGGTTTGTCCCTTCCTTTATAAAATGAAAACAAGAACCAACCTTGGAGTGCTCCCAGCAAGACTTACCTGGTTTGTAGTATTGTGCAAACACTTTGAATTACCATATATACTCGAGCATAAACTGACCCGAATATAAGCCAAGATACCTAATTTTACCACAAAAAACTGGGAAAACATATTGACTCGAGAATAAGCCAAGTATGGGAGTATTGGAAATGCAGCAGCTACTGGTAAATTTCAAAATAAAAATAGATACCAATAAAATTACATTAATTAAGGCATCGATAGTTTAAATATTTTGGAATATTTACATAAAACTGCAATTTAAGATAAGACTGTCCAACTCTGATCAAACCATTATTCTAACCACCTTCAATGTAAATATCCTTCCAATAATAATAGAGAAAAATAATGGAAATGTAATAATCACAGTAATAATAAAGTAAAACAATAAATATAATAATAATAACTATAGAGTAAAATAATAAATGTAATAATAATAAAATAATAAATGTAATAATAAATAGAATAAAATAATAGCTGTAATTAAAATAATAAAGCAAAATGTAATAATAATAATAATAGATTAAAGTAATCAATGTAATAATAATAATAATAATAATAATAATAATAACAACAACAACAACAACAACAACAGAGTAAAATAATAAATAACTTTGACTCTAGTATAAGCTGAGGGGGCTTTTTCAGCCTAAAATAGGGCTGAAAAACCTGGCTTAAACTTAAGTATATACGATAATCAAGATGATTTTGCTTGGCTTACTTTTCATGAACCCCATACAGTGTTCGGAAACCAGTAAACTAACTCCAAATTATTGCATATGCATAGTATAAATTAAATCATCATGAGAATAATTCCTCATGTGTTAAATTTTGTTGTACAGCAAATCTTGTAAGGTCAATTACAGCATTTTCAGCCTTATAAGAGCAAAGCCTTGACAGACCTTTTTTTCAAGCACAGGGTTGTTTTCATTGGCAGAGAAGAGATAATAGCTCTTAACTCAAGGTCTGTTTTTCAATGAAGAACATTTTTCCCCATGGGAAATTAAAATGCCTATGCGCCTCAAACGGTATTTGATATAGTGACAAAGTTAGCTCAAAAAGTCATATCATGCAGGGATCTCTAGTTCTGTTTTCTAATTTTTAACCTTCACTGTCATTCATTATCTTCAAGCTCTAAGTTTTCTTTTTTAATTCATAAATATTTCATTGTGAAACAATAAGTGGGATTAGTATGCAGTGGGAAAGATGAGTGGCTACACTTCATGGAATTCAACCTTGAGTTGACATTTTTAAAAAACAAAGCACTGTAAAGACTATATTTTCCCTACTATGGAAAACAAATGCTGAAATGTCCCTTGGCTGTATGGAACTAGTTAATCAGATCTGAAGATTCCAGCGCCACAATCAAAATGGTTTCATGGGTTACTATTACTGCATATATTCACATATTAATCTCACAATTTTAGTGCAAAAACCCCTCAATCATTTGATGAAGCCTTTCATGGCCAAAATCACTGGGTTGTTGTAGGTTTTTTGGGCTGTATGGCCATGGTCTAGAAGCATTCTCTCCTGACGTTTCGCCTGCATCTGTGGCAGGCATCCTCAGAGGTTGTGAGGTCCACAAAGATGAGTTTAACCGTGGTTCAGTGTAAGTGCTATACCTTAACTCTTATATTTAAAAAAGGAAGGATTCCCTTCTCTGAGTAGAGTGGCAAAAGTCAAAAGCTTAGTCCATCCCTGAAGAGCCTAAAAGAAGAGCAAGCTCCTATACCAGTGGTTCTTAACCTTCCTAATGCTGCGATCCCTTAATACAGTTCCTCATGTTGTTCTGACCCCCAACCATAACATTATTTTCATTGCTACTTTATAACTGTCGTTTTGCTACTGTTATGAATTGTAATGTACATGCCCAGCTCTTTAAGCCGCTCCTCATGGGTCTTGTTCTCCAGTCCCTTGATCATTTTAGTCGCCCTCCTCTGGACACATTCCAGCTTGTTTACATCTCACTTAAACTGTGGTGCCCAGTTTTACCTTATTTTGTAAGCCACTCCACATCCCTTCTTGGGAAAGCAGTAGCACAAAAAACTATTCATGCATTAAATGCCTGTGAACACATCCTTTCAAATACTGAAACACAGCTGTCAATTTCCCCTCTCAACTTTTTTTCTGCCATCTAAATATAACTAGCTCCCTAAACCTAGCTTCCTAAGAGTGGATGGGATGATTCTTTTAGATTTACCCTTGCTTTTCCCCACTTGTCTGTCACCATTCAGAGAAGGAGATACACCTTTTTTGTATATATAAGTTAAGACTGTACATTAACTTTTTATCAAAAAGTGAATCACTCCCTTCCCTGAACAGAGGGACAAATTTTTTGGGTTGGGAAATGACTGTGGCCATGAATTGCAATTTGCTTGAACTGATGCTTCCCCTCTCCACTGAATGACATTCAACTTATCCGTGGATCACATCAAAATCCACAATTTTGATCCCCAAACCTTCCCTTGACTTATACCTGAGGTCAGTCTTTTTCAGAGTATAATAACATATTGTAACTTTTTTACCCTTAAAACAAAAGAGACACATAGTGCAGTCCTATGCAAGTCTAAAGTGAGCTATAATAAGTTAAATTGACTTTTTGGGGAGGTAAGTTTGGATATCAGATTACAGTTTTAGAAAAGCTTATTTTTTGCTGAATTGTATAGTTTAAATTCAATCCCTTCATAACAACTGTCGAAATTATTCTATGTTCAAAACCACAGAAATGATGCCAGGAATGCAGTGTATATTTTTCTTTTCTGAATTTGCAGGTCATGTTGCAAATTGAGTTTTATGGTACACCAGCTATAACTTGTTTTCTGTTAATTTCACTGAAAAGAAATTCAGAGATTACCCACACAAGTGGGTGTAAAACTGTAAGCTCTAACATGAACCTGGGCACTCTTTTCTGCCGAAGATTTTTGGCTCTGATACATTTTGCTTAATGACCATCAATGAATTGGCATGTATACTTCAAACTAAATGCAAACCTAGTGTAAACTAAACAGCATGTGTTGATAAAACAGTTGAACATTGCATTGAAGCAGTTATTTGCAGCTTTAGAAAGATTTCCACCTCTTGATTATTATTTTTTTAGTTATGCGACAGCTCATACTGACACTGAAGGAGAATCTGAGGAAGAAAAAGGATGGATCGGTTCTTCCGCATCTTCTCTGACACCAGAAGAGAAAATAGAGCTCTTCAATCTTCTACAAGATGCCGACAGGTTGCATTCAGGTCCAGATAATGAGAAAACAGAAAGCTACAAACTCTTGCTTGAAAATGAGGAAAAGGTACAATGGGCATGTGCCATGCTAACGTTGCTTTCGTATCACATAGTTAATGTGTGCCATTCTCTTAAGTGTGCCTATAAAATGTGGACTAGAGAAGGCACTCGCGTCGGTTTATCTTGTGAAAAGTTGCTTGGACCTTGTCACTGTGATATCTAAGAATACTGACTCTCATCCCTAAAGAGCAGGGGTATACTTTCTGACATTGTTTACATGTGGTGCCAAATAGATTCTGGAAGAATTTCAAAATCCCAACTAAGTTCACCCTGTACTTAGTTGAATATTTGCATGGAAACCAGTAAATTTCTTGAAATATGGTTCAAGATCTGCAGCAAAGAGCTTAGAAGACTTCCTTTTATATCTACAACACCCATAATTCTGAGAAATTCTGGGACCTGTAGTCTTTAAAAATCCCATTCATAGCTTTATTGCAATTCATTGCCTTACCCCCAAACAATTGATAGAATTAAAAATGGTGGTGTCAGAAGTTGAAAATGAGAAAGGAGAAACTGACAGAGATCTGGCTTTATCTCCTTCTCTGTAGCAAGACAAATGGCAGGGTTTGGTGCATAGTCTGCAGGCAGGAGATAATTCAGGGCCTGTTGTCAGCCTTCAAGTTGTTTCTGACTTCATAGTCACCCAAAACTATATATTTTTTGCAATGACAAAAATGAAGAGGCAACAGCAGAGACTTGGACATAGTTTGCAAAGGGATATTGTAGCGCCTTAGTAACTAAGCGAGAGAATGAAGTTTTGTGGAGATAGGGTGCATCTACACTTGCAGAATGAATGCAGTTTGGCCCCACTTTAACTGCCATGGCTCAATGCTGTGGAATGCTGCAATTTGTAGTTTAGTGAAATACCAGCCATCTTTGGCAGAGGAAGTTAAATAGTGTGTAAAACTACAACTCCAGTGATTCCATAGCATTTAACCATGGCAATTAAAGTGGGGTCAAACTGCATTAATTCTACAATGCAACCTAAGTCTACTTCCTTAGATATACTACCAACTTCAAAACAATTTTTTTAAAGAAGTTTCTTTATCACCGGCTTTGGTAACTGAGGCATGTTTGCATGAATTTTCATGTGCTGCAGGAAATATTTGCAGTAAACTATGAAGCTGTCTTGAAATGAAGAAGTAGATCTTAGTGAACTTTAGCTTATTGATTTGCACATTTCTACCACTTTCCAAGTTCTAACCTATTTGTTACTACAGGTGATGTAATACTGTATGTAGAAAAGCAATAAACAATACTACAGTATGTTGTCGAAGACTTTCATGGCCAGAATCACTGGGTTGCTGTGAGTTTTCTGGGCTGTATGGCCATGTTTCAGAAGCATTCTTTTCTGACCTTTCACCTACATCTATAGCAGGCATCCTCAGAGGTTGAGGGGTCTGTTGGAAACTAGGCGAGTGAGGTTTATATATCTGTGGAATGTCCAGGGGTGGGAAAAAGAACTCTTGTCTGCTTGAGGCAAGTGTGAATGTTGCAATTGGCCATCTTGATTAACATTTAATAACTTCTGAAGATGCCTGCCATAGATGTGGGGGAACATCTGGAACATGGCCATACAGCCTGGAAAACTCACAGCAACCCAATACTACAGTAAATAAATAAGTCATGTCAAACCCAATGAAGTTTTTTAGTTCTATGGTAACATGTTTGCTAACATACTATACCCATGTTAAAATATTTTTTAAGTGAAGACAATCTAATATATCTAATATATCTGCTTGTGTGCAGTACAGAAAGTCTGCTGGCTTTCTTTGGAGACTCGCCCGCGCTTATGGTGACATGTTTGGGATGACTGCTGATGCTGAACAAAAAAAGAACTACGCTTCTGAAGGTTGGCTGGGCAATAAACCCTTTTTATAAAGTGTGAAGTGATATCTGATTGTTCAGGTCAACATAATTGCAGGGGTTAGGGTTAGGAACTCAGTAACCCAGTAGCAGCTCAGTAATTCCGGCCGTGAAATGTGATGCCAGTTTGATTGGAGCCAACATACTGCCCCAAACACAGCTGATCTTGCCTGCTTTGGACAATTAAGTTAGTTCAGATCTGGTTAGTATTTGGATGAAATAAAACCAGAGAATACTAGAGATCTCTAGATAGAGCAAAGAAAGAGTTTTGTCTAAACCCCTGAAGAGTTGCTGCTAGTCGGAATTTCCAGGACTGGGCTAGATGTTATTGTGATTCTCTTGATGCAGTGGTTCTCAACCTGTGAGTCCCCAGGTATTTTGGCCTGCAACTCACAGAAATCTCAGCCAGCTTACCAGCTGTTAGGTTTTCTGGGAGTTGAAGGCCAAAACATCTGGGGACTCACAGGTTGAAAACCACTGCTCTAATGTGTTTTGCTTTTGTGCCTATGTTGCTTTCTCCAATGAAATCTTGTAAGGGGTGTGCTTTATTCTTATTTCACTTCAGTCAGGATAGTTTGGGTCTTTGTCTTCTTCTGTGCATGCATGCCTTAATTTTTAAATGGCCAAGTTAAGCTCTGATAGTCTTTATCTGGAAATATGCCCTACCAAAACTACCACTGTTTTCCTCAGGACAAACAGGGGTCCAGTTTGGATCATCATGATTGTAAGCCATTTTTCTTTTTTAGGTTGATTTCATGATCTGAGAGAGTCTGAGTCAGTTATAATGGAAGATGGATTTCTTTATATATGTATATATTGTGTGTGTGCTTCCTTTTGTGTATATGTATTTACACATAAGTAGCTGGTTATTTTATGGCAACTCAAGGATTTATAGACAAGAGATTAATTCAAAGGTGGTTTTGTGAGTTCCTTGATCTGAAATGTAGCCTACAGCATCTGGTATTCTTTGATGGTCTCCCATCCAATATTAACCAGGACTGACCCTATTTAGCTTTCCAGATCAGACAGAATCTGGTGGCTTTAGAATATGTAAGTTTTTTATACTTTTGTATATGTTCTTAAAACAACATTGTTTGGCTTGTTGCAGAGACAGGGAGTGTGTGTTCAACTGCAGTTCCTGAAATCTCTTACCATTAGCTGGGCTAGCTAATATTTGTGGGAACAGTATCACATGCTTGGTTTATGCTCTGATCATATGTAGTATTAAAAACCCTAAAATATACCTTTTGCAGGTAAGCTTGTAGCTGAGAATGCTATCAACCTGGATTCATCAGTCGCTGAGAGCCACCAATGGTAATGTATTATTATTATTACTATTATTATTATTATTATTATTATCTGATTTGTTATTGAGCCACTCCTTTGGACTTAATGTAAATCTACCATTTGTCAGAGTATATGATCCTGTGCTCTTTTCCATTTTTGACCAGCTTAAATTTGAATAATGGTAAGTTCGCATAAGCTTATTCTAAAATAGTACACTGTGCTTTAGAAAAGATACCTCCAAATTCCTTCAGTATGACAAAGAAATATGAATTCCCTGATTAACACCATGGAGACATTCATCTAATGCAGTGGTTCCCAACCTTTGGGCCTCCAGGTGTTTTGGAAGTCCAAAACCCCTGGAGGCCCAAAGATTGGGAACCACTGATCTAATTGAAAAGACCAGTATGTTAGGGAAATGAGCAGACTGAGCAGTGATCACATTTCTGTCTTGGCCATTAGATGGAGTATGTGTTCCTTCTTTCCCCTTGGTTTTCTAGCTTAAGGCATTTTTTATTGTTCCAGAATAGTCTATACAAAATATTTTCTAGGTGGAACAGTTATTTAACAGTCCACCAAAACTGCAGTTCAGCAGACAGTCGAGAGTAGTTTAACTCCCATTTGTGGGATTTTAGTGAAACAAAACCCTCCCAACTTGCATGATTACAGCTCAGATCTTGCCTGATAACATCCGTACACCTCATTTCACAACAAAAACAAAACAAAACCTCATTTTCACCTTCCCTTTCATCTTGTGGCCTACATTATTTTCATTTATGTCTCCTCTTTTCACCACACTTGGACTAATGTAGGTAAATATCCGAGCCCCTTTGAGTTTACACATTATACGTACCCTTTACATTTCTTCAATTATTTTTTGCTGTGGGGTCAGCTATAATATTTCCACCGCTATAATTAAAATGCAGGAGAATGCTTTTGGTTTCAATGATGTGTATCACGTTTCACCCCTAGTCACTTTGTTTTTCCTACCTGCCGGGAATTTTGACTTACACAGCATAACCAGTTCTACTGTAATTTGGCATGTCTTTGTTTTTTAGCCTTACAGCTATCCTTTCCCTCTAACTTCATTTACAAGGCAATTTGTTTAGAGATTTTTATTTATTTATCGTGTCAGAAGCAAATTGAGAAAACAGTTATAATATATAGAAAAACCACAAAGTTTTAAAACTTGGCATTATACTAAATTTCCTTTGACCAGAAGCTGGCTACTTTGATTGCCTCTAGTGTCGCTGTAAGTAGATCCTCCATTGTGCATATGGCAGGGCTCAGACTGCATTGTAGTAAGTGGTCTGTAGTTTGCTCTTTTCCACACTTGCATATTTTGGACTCCACTTTGTGGCCCCATTTCTTAAGGTTAGCTCTGCATCTCGTGGTGCCAGAGTGTAGTCTGTTCAGTGCTTTTCAAGTTGCCCAGTCTTCTGTGTGCCCAGAAGGGAATCTCTGGGCACACAGAGGTTCTGACTGAGGTTCTAGGTTTTAGCCTGCCCCTTTTGGACTCTTGCTTGCTGAAGTATTCCTGCGAGCATCTCTGTAGATCTTAGGAAGCTATTTCTTGATTTAAGACGTTGGCTTGCTGGCTGATATCTAAACAGAGGGTCGGCCGGACATGTCAATGCCTTGGTCATTTCATTTCTGGCTTCTACTTCCCAGTGGATGTCAGGTGGTGCAATACTGGCTAAACAGTATAATTTCACCAGAAGCAACTTACAGGCATGTTTAGAGATATGTGCCTGGCTTCGCATTACTTTGTCCCTGAAAGATAGGTGTTTTCTCTCTTGATTCCTTTCTAGTGATTGTTTTGCTCATCAGCTCCTCCATGTATATTTTAAGTTGTAGCAATTCCTCAAATAACATACTGTTTTTTAAATCATGGGATTGCTGCAGTTAGCAATTCCCATGTGCAAGAATATACATAGCGTTAAACACAATTTTTTATAAAAGCACTGTTCCTATCGCAACTATGTCCTACCGTAGTATGTACATATAGACTCTACTGCAATACATCAACTAGAGAGGCTGCTTATAAATGCTCTTGCATATTTGACTGTTCTGTGTTCTGAAAAAGAATAATACAGGAAAATTAAATTTGCACTCACTGTTCTTAGTTATCTTTTGCTTTTCTTGTAGTAGATTGGTTTTCTAGCTAGAGGCAGTTTTTTGTTTTAGTCTTTCAAATTTATACTCTTTCTCTCTTATATCCTACAAAGTGGCAGGATATACATACCTGCACTTTCATTAAGATCAGAGGTGGGTTGGCCTAGGGCCCAGGCTTTTGCCTCTGTTATCCTTTTTGGGCTTTATCGGCTGTGAAACGTCGTATTTTTAAAACAAACCTTAAATCACAAGTTCACTTCTAATATTTGCAAAGAAAAAGGGGAAAGTAAAGGTAAATATTTCAAATCTCTCCTGTGACCTGTTTAAAAACCGAATCCATAAAGTCTTGAAGGCTTCCAGGAATGTTGTTCACAATAGGCAGAAATTCAGAATTTTCCATGAAAAGGGCAGTAAGGGAGGGAGAGTCAACACCTTAAAAATCCACATTGGAAGGCTTCGTTAAACTACAGGGGTTCTCCATTGCATGCATCTGATCCAGATGCAATGTTTGTTAGAAATGCATTTCAGGGTAAAGTGCAGGAATAAGGGTTTGTTTTTGTTTTTTGTTGCTACATTTTGTGTACAGATGATTTTGTTTATTGTCTGCACTATTATTGTGTGTAAGCTGCACCAAGTCCCTTAGGGGAGATGGTGACAGGATACAATTAAAGTGTTATTATTGGTTGCTGTGAATTTTCCGGGCTGTATGACCATGTTCCAGAAGCATTCTCTCCTGATGTTTCACCCACATCTATAGCAGGCATCCTCAGAGGTTGAGGATACCTGCCATAGATATGAGCAAAATGTCAGGAGAGAATACTTCTGGAACATGGCCATACAGCCCGGAAAACTCACAACAAGCCAGTGATTCCAGCCATGAAAGCCTTCGACAACATCATATTATTATTATTATTAGTAGTAGTAGTAGTAGTAGAAAGTAAAGGTTTCCCATTGACATTAAGTCTAGTCATGTCCGACTCTGGGGGTTGGTACTCATCTCCATTTCTAAGCTGAAGAGCCGGCATTGTCTATAAATGTCTCCGGGGTCATGTGGCCGGTGTGACTCAAGTGAGCGCTGTTACCTTCCCGTTGGAGCGGTACCTATTGATCTACTCACATTTGCATGTTTTCAAACTGCTAGGTTAGCAGAAGCTGGGGCTAACAGTGGGAGCTCACCCTGCTCCCCAGATTTAAACCACCGACTTTTCGTTCAGCAGCTCGGCAGTTTAACCCACTTCTATTATTATAGAAGCCAGTTAAAGTGTCTTTTTAATCTAAGGGCAGCAAGATAGTTCTGGGGCACAAGGAAACACAACTCTGTCCTCCAAGAGAGGTAAATCAAGGGGCTTAATCGGCATAGTTCCCTTTTGCTACCTAATAGAAGGTATTCCTGTAATATTTGATAAGAGTGCTATAGGTAAGCAATACAATCTCTCCATGTTTACTCAGAAGTAAATTTCTTTCAGTCCTATGAGACCACAAAGATTTTACAGATGCATTATAAATGTTAAAAGACTCTTTGTTTGTTCTGTTACCAAATTCTTCGGATTTGCTTCATTTACTGAAATTGCTATCTCCGGTACCAGTTTCCCACTCCAGATTATTTCTTTCCTTGAATTGAAATTCAGTTTAGTTTTCAAATGTATTTAACACAGAATGCTTTTTTGTACAAAAAAAATTTAAAGGATGAACGCATACTTCCTCATACTTAAAAACAAGCTCATTGTTAGTCATGAGTCTGTTGTCTCATTGATCTTAAGGGTTCTAATGTAAGCCTGCCGACGTCTGAATCCAACCCATAGTCCCTCCCTTCCTTTTTTCAGTTCAGAAAGGATAGATGTACAGAATATCTATATGCCTTTCATTAAGTTTCTCCCCTCTATGACTAAGGTACTGATTGAATGCTGGGCACACCAGTTTGGAGCTAGCGTGACTTTTGCACTAAGAAAAATAAGCAGCTTTTTATTTGTCTGGAAAGGCCTTTACATGTAAAAGTATCACCCTTAACTGGTTTAACCCAGCACCTTTCTTCCCTTGTCACGCACAGACGTGGAGATTCTGCGAAACCCAGGATTAGCTTGTTTGCATTTCATTGTTTTCTTTTCTAGCTGCAATCCGTTTAGCTATGGTATGCTGAGTTTATCTGATTAGCACCTAATGAGCCAAGGGAGGTTGGACGGAAAATGTTCCCTGCATGTCTGAAACCTACAGGAAATTAAGTTTTTTTGTACCCTTTTCTCTTCCAAATACTTAAAATTCCTTGTCTTTCGTGCTTAGAGTTGTCAGCAGGGTTTTGTGGTGCAGGGGGCTAGCGGGAAAACTGGCTAGTTGAGAACGATCTTCCATCTTGCCCTCCTTTTTGGAAGGAGGAACACAATAAATTAGTACCACGAAGAAAATGCAGATTTCTTGAGAAACATGCTTTCCTCTGTCCCTATAGAAATGAAAGTCTTCCTACAAATATTGGAAAACATTTCTCTCCCCATTGCCATAAATAATTTCTGTATGTTTGTTGGGGGAAGAGGTTTGTTGAACTGGTGGAGAAAATATAGTGTGAAGATTACGTTGTGTGTTGAAGTAGTCCCAAATCTGGGTAAAAAGAAAGATATAAAGTTGTTAACAGTGGTAGTAATGTTAATGTGCACATGTACTCTGGGTAGGATTGTTGCCTGATTAAGGGTGTCTTAGTTGTGTTGTCGAAGGCTTTCATGGCCAGAATCACTAGGTTTCTGTGATTTTTCTGAGCTGTGTGGCCATCTTCTGTCTTGACGTTTCACCACATCTGTGGCAGGCATCCTCAGAGGTTGTGAGGTCTGTTGGAAACTAGGCAAGTGAGGTTTATATATCTGTGGAATGCCCAAGGTGTAAGAAAGAACTCTTGTCTGCTTGAGGCAAATGTGCATGTTCCAAATGGCCACATTGATTAGCATTTAATGGCCTCGCAGCTTCAAAGCCTGGCTAGTTGCTGCCTGGGGGAATCCTGTGTTAGCTGACCCTGATTGATTCTTGTCTGAAAATCCCCTGCTTTTTGAGTGTTGCTCTTTGAGCGAAACACTAAAATCAGGACAGTAAATAAACTTGCCTTAGTTTCCAATAGGCCTCACACTCTCTGAGGATGCCTGCTATAGATGTGAGCAAAACATCAGGTGAGAATGTTTCTGGAACATGGCCATACAGCCTGGAAAACTCACAGCAACCTGGTTTCTTAGTTGATCAAGAACCTCTCAGTCCCTTCCTGACCTTTTGGCTAAGATTAAGTGTGAAGAACCTCTCAGTCCATCTAATGAGACAATGATATAGTCCTAAGTCCTAAACCTGCTTACTAGAGTGTAAGTCTTACTGAAAACAATGGAGATAGCCTCTGATTAAATAGGGATAACTACATATAATAGGATGCAACCAATTATTCTGGCAATTATTCTGGGGGGAAAAACAACCCTAAAGTTATTGTCGAAGGCTTTCATGGCTGCAATCATTGGGTTGTTGTAGGTTTTTTGGGCTGTATGGCCAAGTTCTAGAATCCTTCTCTCCTGACGTTTCACCTGCAGCTGTGGCAAGCATCCTAACCTCACAACCTCTGAGGTAAAACATCAGGAGAGAATGCTTCTAAAACATGGCCATACAGCCTGAAAAACCCACAACAACCCAACCCTAAAGTTACTTTTGTTTTAGATCAGGTTGGGCAGCTGCAGAAGGTCTGGGTGCCACCTTTGTGCCTCACGAGCCTTTTGGAACCATATAATCTACTGAAAAATAAAACTGGCCACTCACACATCCACTCCCATGGTTGGAAGTCAACTTCTGATTCTCAAAAATGTTATTGAAAAATAAAGTACAGGGAAGTTTTGCAATCTATTTAGAAGTTGTTGCCTTTGAAGGCTTCCAGAAGCAGCAGTTGCTCTTCTCTTTTTGGCCAGAAAAGGGTTATTTTCAGGATTTGGGAGGTGTGAAAGCCACAAAAACATATTTTAGGCACAGTGGTTCTCAACCTTTGGTCCTCCAGGTGTTTTGGACTTCAACTCCCAGAAATCCCAGCCAGGTTTCCAGCTGTTAGGAACCTTGGGAGTGGAAGTCCAAAACACCTGGAGGCCCAAAGGTTGGGAACCACTGTTCAGGGGCAGGGCTTCATTTACCCATCCCATTGAAGATGGTGCTGGATGTGAACTATGCATAGAGTACCTAAAACAGGTTGGGCATGGGTCAGCCATAAGAGGTATTTTTGCCCTTAGTGAGAGCAGAAGAATACTTTCACTGAGATGCTACTGCCTCTTGTTTTATTTTTCATTTCTTTTTACTGACACAACCAACACATCTTTCAAAAGGGCCTGTGCCAGGCAGGATTCATTGTAATCGGAAATGTCACAACAAATCTTTTTCCTTTCTTCCCTCTTTTAGGTTTGCAATGATGTGTGGCTACATGTCTCAGTTTGAAACCATACAGAATAAAATCAAGAATGGCTATCTTTTTAAGGTATGCCTTTGGGAGCTCTTTTAAGCAGCTGCCGTTATTAAATTACTTCATCCTGACAATTGTGAAGTTTGTATTTAGAGGGAAACGAAATATGCCTGGAGGGCAATGCCAGAATTACGTTGAGAAGAGGAGATGATCCCCCCCCCCCCCCATGTTCTTAACAGTCATCATGAACTGGCTTTTAAACTAAAACCATTTAAGCATGCCTTTGTTGAACCAGCCACAAGACTGTAACTTTCCCTACTCTGAACACTGAAAGAATCGCATGAGAAAGGGAAGAATATGTCTCTTTAATTATACGTTTGCATTTCTTCTGTAATCCGTCATCATTTTTCCTTCATTCTTTCTTAAATTTTCTGTAGTTGGCTCAGAGCTATTTTTCTGGATCTAATTTCCCACAATAGCATTGTAAGTGTAGTACAAAAAGTAACTTTTTCTAGCTCTGCTGTGCTTATGTTTTGTTGATGCTAGTTGAGAAGTCTCTCTGTTGATCTCAACAGAGCAGGGTTGAAGCAGGATTCAAGCTTTAATTATCAAAAAGAAATTACCTAATATACTCGAATATAAGCCAACCCAAATATAAGCCAAGGCACTTAATTTTACCACAAAAAACTGGGGAAACGGATTGACTCGAGTATAAGCCAAGGGTGGGAAATGTAGCAGCTACTGATAATTTTCAAAAAAGATACCAATAAAATTACATTAATTGAGGCATCAGTAGGTTAAATGTTTTTTAATAGTTACATAAAACTGTAATTTAAAATAGGATTGCCCAACTCTGATTAAACCATTATTCTAACCTTCTTCAATGTAAATGTGTTTACATATCCTTCCAATAATAATAAAGAGAGTAAAATAATGGAAATGTAATAGTAGCAGTAATAATAGAGTAAAATAATAAATGTAATAATAAAAACAATAATAAAGTAAAATAATAAATGTAATAATAGATTAAAATAATAATGATAATAATAATAATAATAATAATAGAGCAAAATAATAATTGCATTATTGTTATTTATTTATTTAGAACATTTATATCTCATCCTATTCTTGACCTCTGAATAGAGGCGGCTACCAGCAGACAACAATTCAATGCCAATACAATATAAAAACAGCAATAAAATACACAATTACATAAAATGATTATAAATATACATTAAAAACAGTTTGCCAGGTTTAAAACATTCTCCAAATCCGTCCAAATTGCGGTCCATAAAATCTCAATGAATAATAATAACAGAGTAAAATAATAAATAACCTTATTCTCAAGTAAAAGGCAAGGGAGACTTTTTACATATAATTTTGTTCTTAGCTATAGTTCACAGGTTATTTTTTAAAAAGGGATTTTTTTCTAAATCTGTGTTTGTTTGTTCATCCTAGTTTGTGACTTTTTAATGTACATATGGCTTTTGTAAAATATAATATTTACAGAGTTTCTGGACAAACAATGCTGTCTTGGGACTTAAACCAATAGTCAGACAATGAAGAACGAGAAAAGTAACCCTTCACTTTCATCTCCTTTTTTACCAGGAACATATAGACAAAGCAAGAGAGCTTAAGCCTCAAGACCCTTTTTTGTATTATCTTACTGGAAGATGGTGCTATGAAGTAAGTGTACTGTAAGCCTCAAGTTATATGCTTGGTACTAGTTACACTCAACTCTTTAAAAATTGTCATTGAGCAGTTTTACTTAACATAAATTTGTATCCAGTGCCGTGCTAGTAGTAAAAAGTGTAAGAGCTGGTGTTTTCCAGTAGTGGTGGCTCCAGGAGCCACTACAATAGGTCATTTAAGCAGAATTTTAAAAAATAGAGCAAGGGCAAAAACGGGCTTTTCACCAGTCGATAAGGCAGTGCTCTAGCCGAGTTCTTTTAGATGCACTACATCAACTTGAAGTTCTGTTGAGCCAAATTTATAAACATAAAAGAGGCAAGATATAGGTAATGGTAAAGGTTTCCCCTTGACATTAATTCTAGTTGTGTCTGACTCTGGGGGATGGTACTCATCTCCATTTCTAAACTGAAGAGCCGGTGTTGTCACAAAACCCTCTTATAGTGCCGAGTCTTATTAATTATGGTTTTCTGTGGGCAAGCAGATGGCAACTACTGGATGGCATATTTTCTGTATCAGAAAGTAGAGCTGATGTGGTCTATCCAATGCAATTTTCTGAATCAGCACTCCAAATAATCAAACCCAATCTAAAGTTGACCAAAAACTGATTTATAACCCTTTTGGTACTAATGTTGGAGAGTGGTCCCTTGTCAAAGTGGTCCCTGGTCAAAAAAAAGTTGGGGACCACAGTCTTAGACCAATGAGTTCCCTTTTCCTGGAGTCAGGCTGCTCTTAAAAAGTGTTGATAGAATATAATAGAAAAACTTTATTAATGTCTCTTCTTGGAAGAGAGACAGAATAGAAATATGGTAAACACATGATGATGATGATGATGATGATGATGAAAGTTCTTCATTGTATAAATTGATGCATTCCTTTTGGATAATTGGTTTCATTCTTAAGAGCTAGACATTATTTATAGATCTGCTGCTATTGAAAATGCCAATTTTAAAATACTTCTGTAGCAAACCTCGGCAATGAAAATACTCTTGTACTTGGCACATTTTACTTTAAAGCAGCTAAAATATAAAATCAAAGCTGTGCATACAGCTAATGATGTTATTTTAGTGCTACTTTCCCCCCTTTTTTGAAGTTACTACAGCCAATAAAACAATTTCTTTGTGGGGATGGCTTGCTGAACAGTGCCAATCAAATTCTGAGCAAATCAAAAATGGAAACTGAATCTCTCTCCATTACTTCTTATTAAATGTTGTAAGAAAACATACATATTGCCAGACAGACCTCATACTTTGAGAAACTAATTGTACGTTCCAATTAGAAGTCTCTATAGGATGACATCATGGGTAAAACTAGTGTGAGATCCATCAGTTTTTGGTATTCCGTGTGTGTATATATAGATGTTTGGGTGGTCTACAGAAATTTTTATATATGCAGTATTTCATCTAATCATATATGCTTCAGCTGAATTTAAATACTTTAACTTTCAAATGTTCCTATAATTCTAGGACTTCAAAGTTACCGCAAATACTGCACAAAATTGTGTGAAAGAGCTTCAGGGTTTTACAGATTGGGAATAGGGTATCTGATTTGGAGGGGTCTGTGTGCTTCCACGATGGTGGTTTCTTTCCTCCTGGAGTCTACAGTGGGGTCTTGGTATCTGTTAGTGTTTGGTTCCAAGATCACGGCCAGTACTCTGTAGATGTGAAAACCTTTGGATGCTCAAGTCCCACTATATACAGTGACATAATAAAATTGTGTCTGTTATATAAAATGGCAAGATCAAAGAAAGACTATAATTGACATAGCTGTAGTAAATGGAATCAAGATACTCTACCCAGATAATGTTGGCCAAATGCTGTCACAGTTTTTGGATTTTATAGCTTAATGCTTCAGAAGTACACAACATTGAATTAAGTGGGATATCTAATACATTTTTCTTGGGACTAAAACCAGTGCCAATTTTGCCTTTAGTGGTCCCATTCAAATGAAGAGTAACTCAAGTCCCATTCCTGTTGCTGGATTTACAGTAGATAGAATTAACAGTGGAGTTCATCTTTTGTTTTGCTGTTTTGTTTTTGCAGTTGGCCTTCTATACTAGAAATTATTGTTTACTTATGAAAAATAGTTTAGGAATGTGTGTCCCAGGCATTTCCAACCTAATGTAATCCAGGTCTGTTGGACTACAACCTCCATCATTCTAAGGAAACATGGCCACTGGTTATAGGTGATGTATGTTGTAACGCAACAGCCTGGAACACAGTTTTGAGAAATGCTGTTCTTTCCTTTAACAATGTCTCTTTCTGTTTCTCCCCATCACTACTCACCCTAGAAGTTGTTTAAAATATATATATTTTTGGCTGGAAGGTACTTAATTATGGTAGCTTGCTTGCAAAACATTTTGTTTCTTATCTCTAAACCATCTATAAACAAGCGTATTTTTTCTCCTTCTTTCTCTGGGGTTTCCAAAGGTGGCTCAGTTGTCTTGGCTTGAGAAAAAAGTAGCTGCTGCTCTTTTTGGGACTCCGCCAACTTCAACAATACATGAGGCTTTGCAGAATTTTCTCAAGGTAGATATTATTCTTCTCCCCCTCCTTTCTCCTCCCTAAAATCATTTCTATTTAAAGCCCACCTACCAAGTGGCTGGTGTTCAAGAAATTTGCTCAACAAGTTGTTCTCAGCAGCTATAAATTCAAAGCTCTTCTAAAGGCCAAAGATTTCCACAATGATACTGAACGTCAGCTAAAGTTTCAGGAACTTTCTTTATTAATCTCCTTGCAACTGTGGCAATTTCAGATGTACAGCTCTTTGAATTCCTCATGGAGAGTTGTTTTATATGTTCACCATGTGCAAAATTTAATCTGTTACAGCCTTTGCGGTATCAGCAGAATCTGGATTGGAACAGGTCATGGCAGCCTGTGCAGTTCACAGTCCTTCCTTTGGTCCCTGGCATTGGCGCCAGGAAAATACTAGAAGCATAGCGGTTGGAAGGAACCCACAATAGCCTTCTAGTCCAGCCCCTAATGATCACCATCCATTTTATAGACTTCTTAAGAAAGAGTCCACTACCTCCTGAGATAGTTTATTCCAACATCAAATAGTTCTGGCACTGAAGAAGCCCCATCCTGGGCCCGGGTCTGTTCAACATCTTTAGTAATGACTTAGATGAAGGATTAGAAGGCACAATCATCAAGTTTGCAGATGACACCAAATTGGAAGGGATAGCCAATACTCCAGAGGACAGGAGCAGGATTCAAAACGATATTGACAGATTCAACAGAGACAAATGCAAGATACTCCACTTTGGCAGGAAAAACGAAATGCAAAGATACAGAATGGGGGATGCCTGACTCGATAGCAGGATGTGAGAAAAAGATCTTGGAGTCCTCGTGGACAAGTTAAACATGAGCCAACAATGTCATACGGCAGCAAAGAAAGCAAGTGGGGTTTTGGCCTGCATAAATAGGAGTCTAGTGTCCAGATCCAGGGAAGTCATGTTACTCCTCTATTCAGCCTTAGTCAGAACATACCTGGATTACTGGGCAATGCAGTTTAAGGGAGATGCTGACAAGCTGGAATGTGTACAGAGGAGGGTGACTAAAATGATCAAGGGTCTGGAGAACAAGTCCTATGAGCAGTGGCTTAAAGAGCTGGATGTTTAGTCTGCAGCAGAGAAGCCTGAGAGGAGATATGATGAAGGCCATATATAAAGATATGAGGAGAAGTCATAGGAGGAGTCAGCAGGCTTGTTTTCTGCTGCTCTGGAGACCGGGATTCGGAACAATGGCTTCAAACCACAGGAAAGGAGATTCCACCTGAACATGAGGAAGAACTTCCTAACTCTGAGGGCTGTTCAACAGTGGAACTCTCTGCCCTGGAGTGTGGTGGAGGCTCCTCCTTTGGAAGCTTTTAAGCAGAGGCTGGATGGCCACCTGTTGGGGGTGCTTTGAATACAATATTCCTGCTTCTTGGGAGGGGGTTGGACTGGATGGCCCACGGGATCTCTTCCAACTCTGATTCTATGATTTTAATGTTTAAGTAGAACATCTTTTCTTTTAATTAGGTTTGAATTCTAGTTTCTGGACCAACAGAAAAGAAGCTTGCTCCATCTTCTATATAACATCTCTTCATATCACCTCTTACTCTATTTCCCAAGATAAACATATCCAGCTCCTTAGGTTTTTTCCTCACAGAGCTTGGTTTCCAGGCATTTTCCCATTTTGGCCATCCTACTCTGAACATGTTCCAAAGTTCCTGTTCCAGACATTGCTATAAAATAACTTTGCACTACCCTGGATCTGCCCTTGTGTTATAGTGGTTAAGAGTGTTGGACTTTGGGATATCCTGATACTAGATGTAACTAGGCCATATGACTAAGAGGAAGGCCTTGGATTAGTTACTTTCTCTCTCATACCTAACTAACCCCACAGGATTGTCATCAGCAGATAGCCATGGATAACCATGGATCTTCAGCTCCTCAAAATTCACTTTAGCCTTTCATTTGCATCTTTCACAGAAATGAAGAGAGATGCAAGAGTATGTGTTATGCTCTTGCACCTTTTTGTTTCCTATTTGCTACTGGCTTTTTTTAACGTGCTTCATGTTCAATATGTTATTGCTTTGCTGATGTGGTCATCATCTTCTCTTTCCTCTTTCCACTCAGGCTGAAGAAATTCATCCTGGATATTCTAAATATAATTATGTCTACATGGCAAAGGTAACAGGGATTGTTCCATTTTTATTACCCTTTTAAAATGATGGATGCATATAGTCTTTATATTAAATCAACTTTGGTGTTTTTTTTCTTTGCCACTCCCAGTGCTACAAAGAACTTGGGCAGAAGAGCAATGCCCTGAAGTCCTGTGAAACTGCACTGTCCATTCTGCCTGTCAACAAAGAGGTGAGTCTGAAGCCAAATATCTGGTTTCCCTTTCTGGCATGCTTGCTGCAACAAAGTCTTCTGTGCCTCATCAGCAACATATAAATGTTAGGATTGTGAGAGGAGCTCCTTTTTTGGATGAAAACTCCCAGAAATCCCCCAGACAGTCTGTTTAATACAGCGATTCTCAACCTGAGGGTCCCCAGATATTTTGGCCTTCAACTCCCAGAAATCCTAACAGCTGGTAAATTGGCTGAGGTTTCTGGGAGTTGTAGGCCAAAACACCGAGGGACCCACAGGTTGAGAACCACTGGTTTAATACAAGGGGCGTTCATTAAAGATTTCCCCTGATCCACTTTGATTTATCACAGGACACTGAAACTGCACATGTGTGATGACAGAAGTCTCTATAGGTTATGTGCCAATTTACAACCCAGAACTGATAATGGTCTGGATTTTACAAGTGATGAAATGATGTAAGGTTTGATAATGGATCCAAAGGAATACAGAGCAGTCATCAAGTTCCTTTGCTTGAAAGGCCACACACCAAAGGAGACGTTTGATGAAATGAAAAAGGTTTGTGGTGATGATTCCCCAACATATGATGTAGTCGAGAACTGGCATCGTCAATTCAAATGTGATTGGACGTTGGTGAAAACAGCTCCAATTCCAGGGTGACCCCACTCTATTGATAACCACACTATTCAGCAATTGGAGGTCACCATTCTGGAAAATCGCCACATTAACATTCACCACCTGGCCCAAAATGTCAAGATTACTGTGGGGTCCATGGAAAAAAATCATCCAAGACCATCTTCACATGCATAAGGTATCCACTCACTGGGTTCCCCGGCTGCTCACACCTTTCCAGAAGCAGGAACGAGTCAAATGCTCCCAGGCTCTATTGATTATATGCCGTGGAAACCAGGAGGACTTTTTCAGCAGACTGATCACACAGGATGAAAGCTGGGTCCATCATTATGATCCTGAGACTAAAGTCCAGTTGATGCAATGGAAGCACCATGACTCACCACCTCCAAAAAAGGCATGTGCCCAACTCTCGGCAGGCAAGGTCATTCTCACAGTATTTTGGGACCAGCACTGAATAGTATTGATGGATTTCCTAGCAAAGGGTACCATGATCACTGGGGCATACTATGCTTCACTGCTGTGGAAATTGCGAGAGGCCATCAAAACCAACAGACATGGCATGCTCACCAAAGGTCTGCGAGGCGATGCACCAGTTCACAACTCACATGTTGCCAAATGGAAGCATGCTCCTGTGGCATTGAAAGTCTACCGCATCCCCCTTATTCACCTGACCTCACACCATTGGACTTCTACCTCTTTCCAACAATGAAGTTATTTTTGAAGGGCAAGGCATGATGATGAGACTCTGATTTCCGAAGTCACAGTATGGCTTTTGGAGCCACCTGTTGACTTCTACAAGGGAGGTGTTTACAGTTGCTTTGAAAGATGGGAGAAGAGTGTGTCCCTAAGTGACACCTATATAAAGAAGGAATAAAAACTGTGCCAAGTTTCATTGCTCTCGGTCCACAGGAAGTGGTCTTAAGAATCTTAAGACCTGGCTCTGCCGTTGTGCATTCGGAGAGTAGCCACATAACTTTATGCTAGTGCTTCCTCAACGTTCTTGTCCCAGGAGTCACACCCCCCCCCCCCCCCCATGTACGAAGGTTTGTTTGTTTTCCTATCTCTCTGAGTTCACCCTTACAATTAGTTCTGCCCCCTTATCTCACCCGGAGTTTTTAAAACATTTTATGTACATGCGGACTGCTCTCTGTCATTATGTTTTGTTTCCTATGTTCTGTGTATATAGTTTTATATGTTTTGATGTTTTACATTTTAATGTTATGTTGTTTATTTTATTGCAATTTGTATTATTATATTGTAGTTTGTTGTTTGGGCTTGGCACCATGTAAGCTGCTCCGAGTCCCCGTTGGGGAGATGGTGGTGGGGTATAAATAAAGATTATTATTATTATTATTCGTGGGGTCAGGGAAATGAATGCCCCTCATCCCTATGCTGGCTGGAAAATCCTTGGAGGCATAGTTGAAAAAATATAAATAAGCTCTGTCACTTCCTGCATGTCAACATCTCCTTTCAATTGCGGTGCCCAGAATTGGACACAGTGTGATTCCACGTGTGGTCTGACCCATAGCAGCAACTGGGGAGGCATTGCAAGGACATATTGTGCTGTTCTCGTTCATTTCAGTGGGGCCTGAAGAAGAGAATATTTTTGGTGGACGGTGCCTTGATTTCATGAAGTTAATAATTTTTTATAGAGGTATCGTGCAAAGTGTGGCAATTGGATGTAAAGTGGAAGTGACTTGTGACACTCTGGCATGGCTGGTCGCAATATAGCACATGGAAAATGTGGAAAGAGGGTAAAGACCTTTGTTATGCAACAGTGTTTGAGCAGATGACGTTCACAACGGTGATGTCGATTTTAATGGGGAACTTGGCAGCCTGCACTGTAATTAGTCACACAGATCCCAAGACACTGTTGCTGTCTAATTTTGAAGTTGAGGTGTTTCGGAATTGCCACTGGCAGTTCAGTAGTTACTTTATCCTCTGGCAGGGCTCAGCGCTTCCCAGCCAAAAGAACCACCGTGTAAAACATGCTGCAGTTCTGCTAGGAAATAAAAAAGAGGCACTGGGTGGGAGGCAACAGTTTCAATTCAGGGAAATCAAAATCATGATGATTTACTTTTGCAGGAATTTGGCGGGGGGGACGACACAATTATAGAGTGCAGACTTTGGGCAAGGAAGCTAAGATATTGAGATTTATCTGACATTTCTTCCTGTTGCTGACAGTCTTTTGGCAAAGATGCACAGTGATTACAATGAATACCTTTCAAGGTGTTGAATATGTGAATTGCTGAAGTAGTTACGTCTTACTGCTTTTGAAAGAGCTATCTCCTGAAAACATTTCATCAGACACATAAAGGACTTGGATGGATTTCCCAAGTCATTTAGGTTGAAGGTGAAACCCTTTCATTTCTATTGCTGCTTAAAAGTATTTATTTTGCTGTCAGGTAACAAAAAATAAAATTGCACTGCTGAGCATTTTCTGTTTGAGTTTGTGTGTGTGTGAAGTCTGGCAGCTAAGACTGATAGTTGTAGATTGCAATATGTGCCTGGCCAATGACCAATTTTGACTGACACTCTCACTTTGTGTGAATTTGCTTTGTGTGAATTTGAGAGCCAATTCAGACTGTGAAGGAAACTGCTGAGACTAGAAACATGTCAGTGCAGCTCCACAAAACTGTAAAACTGCTCCATGTCATTCAGGTAAAGGGAAAGATAAAGGTTTTCCCCTGACATTAAGTCCAGTCGTGGTGCTCCTCTCCATTTCTAAGTCGAAGAGCCAGTGTTGTCCGTAGACACCTCCTAGGTTATGTGGCTGGCATGACTGCATGGAGCACTGTTACCTTCCTGTCAAAGCGCTACCTATTGATCTACTCACATGTCCATGTTTTCGAACTGCTAGGTTGGCAGAAGCTGGGGCTAACAGCGAGATCTCACCCTGCTTTCCGAATTCGAACTGCTTATCTTTGGTCAACAAGTTCAGCAGCTCAGGAGTTTAACCTGCTTTGCCACTGGGGGGCTTATGTCAATTCCTTTAACAGCAATAAAACCCAATTTCAGCGTAACGTTTTGTGATAACGGGCATCCCTCAAGCTTCAAAATTCCAGGAAAGTTTAGGCTGTTAAGATACAACCAGTATTCCTGTAATAGCTGCCAAGGGTTCTATGCCGTCAAAAAACTCCTGTTCTTGCAGAAGTGACTGTATTAGTTCTATTTAAGGAACCAGGTATCCAAAAACACAGTTGTAGTGGTCTTCTACTCAAACAAAACAAAACAAACAAAAAAAAAACATTTAAGAGATTTTTGGTGTTTTTCCCAGATAAGCAGGAAGTCTTTTCTTTCTCCTTTGCTCAAGCAGTATACAAAGTATATACAAAATATATAGACTTTACACCATCTTCCTCGCTACACATGGCAATAATTCTTCCAACACACTATCCAAACCACCACCTCTTCAACCTTCATCAAACATACTCAGTATAACGACAACCTATATACTTCTCCCATTGCATTAACCACCACACCCTAATTATTCATTATTTATTTATTTACTTCACTTGTATACCGCTTTTCTCACCCCAGCGAGGGACTCAAAGAGATTCCCAACACAATAATGGCAAAATTCAATGCCTCATATACAGAAACTTAATATAACGATAACACGCCATTATCAATTAAATCATAAAATATGATATCATTTAACATTAAAACTTTGAATTAAAAACCTATCAATATAAACAATTAAAACCACACAATCCAACAATCGTACTCCAGGCTGTTCCAAATATCATATCTATTTCACATAATCCCTGACCATTCCTTGTACTGCTCACTGCTCAAAGGCTTGGTCCCACAGCCAAGTCTTTACCCTTTTTTTGAAGGCCAGGAGTGAGGGTGCTGATTTAATTTTGTTGGGGAGGGAATTCTAGAGCCGAGGGGCCACCACTCCAAAGACCTGTCCCTCGTCCCCACCAGTCGCACTTGCAAAGGAGGTGGGACCGAGAGCAGGGCCTCCCCAGGCTGTCTTAATCCCCGAGATGGTTCATAGAGGGAGATACATTTGGACAGGTAGGCTGGGTCTTAACTCTTTTACAGGTGGTTAGGCCAGAGGTTTTAACTTAGAAAATGTTGGGTAGTTTCCAGATCCTGACAACAGCAAATGCTGTTCCTTTCATTCACCATTAACAGAAAGTTGTGACTAGATTCTGTAACATAGCCCGTGTGTTTCGCAAGTGCAAGATTTCCCAATTTGACATAGAATCGTTAAAACTGCCCATTGAAGCTGTGCCAAATGTTAGGTTCAAAAGGCTACTTAATTTTGTATTTGAATTGATCATGAAGTTCAAGAATAATGCTCTGCTTCAAGACACCTAATAATGTAAGAATGGAAACAGCTCCAAAAGCAGCACAACTATTGGAAAGTGCTGTACAAAATCCCCGAATACCTGGTTTAATGACCTAGGAAGCGTGAATGAAAATGATCGAAATTAAGCACAGCAGGCCACAGGAATGCTGGGTTAATAGAAACGCTTTCAAAGGTACTTGGGAGGATGAAAACCTCTAATTATAGTCCATTAGGACTCTATGAAATGAATCCTTCAGTGCACTCATTTAGGAGGAAGTTGGAATGGACAAGCACAGTACGTGCGTAGGGTCTCCCCACCTTTCCCCAGTCTGCTTTATACTCTCTGCTGTTGTATGGTCACTAAAAAGAGGAATTGAATGAGTTATTCTTTTCTGAACTATTGGCACTGAAAATAATCTCCTGCATTGATCCAGAAATTGGCATCAGGTACAGCAGCTGGGCAGGAGAAGGTTGTGGGGATCTGTAAAATACACCATGATGTAATGGGTTTGACTGGAAAGACATGTGTCGGTAGTTGATTGGCTGAGCATGCCAGGAACCAGAGTTCTGATTGGCTACTGTCACTGCTAAGACAAACGGTTTTAACTGCCACTTTCAGTTTGGAGAGTGAAGAGAGTGCTAACTGGAAACGGCCAGAAAGGATATGGCTGCCAACTCTCTGAAGCCTGATCATTTCTAAGGCATGAAGCATATTGTATAGACTAATTAAAAGGACTGTTTTAATTCCCCTGTTCTTTGTATGAATTCAGAGAGACTGCTGTATATATTGTTGCCCTGTTTGTCCTTTTGAACTGAAATATAGATACTGTTACTAGTTACATAAGCCTGAGTGGCACTTTATTATACAGCAGGGTATATCTTGGTTCAGAAACTGTGGTAATGTTCCTCTTTATTTTCATTTACCAACCTCCACAAAGGATGTTTTGGAGATGCAATTGCATACATGTAGTTTTCATCTTTCTTTTTTTGCTTTAAGGACGAAGAGGCTGAAAAAGAATTAGAAATGTTGCTTCCATCTCTGAAACTGTGATGAAAACAAGAAGAAACACTCTTGATTGTGTTGGTTGAATGGAAGAATCTGAGAACTCCAGTCCCAGCTGTGAAAACACATGTGTCAAGAGTTGGGATTTGCAGTTATTTGATGAATAGGATTGGGGAAGATAATCCTGAAGAAGGAAGTTTAATTCTGAAGTTAGAAATGCAAATAAAAAAATGATGGGACAGAGTTGTCTTGGCCCAAGTCAAGTTTCTTCAAGGCCAGAAAGAAAAAGATGACAGGTGCTTGTGTATTATGAATGCCATATTCTGAACAGAACTGTCTTCCACATCACCACAAGGTAGGTTTCTTAAGGACAGTCAAATACTCTGGCTAGTATCCTGTCGGGAGTTTACACTTATGTAACTGTCCAGTTGTGCAAGTTGCACTTTTTGCTGCCTTGTATAAATGGGTCTCTCAGACCTCCTTGTGCAAATAGCCCCCAGGAATAAGCAAGCCTCTGTGGTGTGCCTGGAAAGATCGACAGGTCCAGCTCTTCCTCCTCCTGCCAATGAAATGTCTTGGTTTTCTTTGTGACCAAACAGCATGGCATTATGATGTGCCAGCTCCCATAACATTTCAGCCACAGAGTATCTGTATGTTTTTGGTTTTTTTCATGTCAGGAGCAGCTTGAGAAACTGCAAGTCGCTTCTGCTGTGAGAGAATTGGCCATCTGCAAGGATGTTGCCCAGGGGACACCCAGATGTTTTACCATCCTGTGGGAGGCTTCTCTCATGTCCCCACATCAGAAGCTGGAGCTGACAGATGGGAGCTCATCCCGCTCCCCGTATTCAGACTGCCGACTTTTCGGTCAGTAGTCCTGCCAGCACAAGGGTTTAACCCTTTGCACCACTGGGGGCTCCTAACTGTATGGTAACATATGGAAGGATAAACAGTAGGGATAGACTTTTTAAAATAAAATGACATGTACTGAAGACATTGACTTGACCAAAATGAAGCTGCTTCTGGAATGAGTTTTCAACCATTCCTTTAGAATACATGGAGGTTGTGAATCCTGGCACAGAAAGATGGGTGCTGTTGAACATATGACAAGGAATAATGAATTATTTCCATTTTAGATCCATAGCATCTATTTTTCTAATTTTAAGTTTTAAATCTCAGCCAGAATATTGTCGAAGGCTTTCATAGCCAGAATCACTGGGTTGTTGTGAGTTTTCCAAGCTGAATGGCCATGTTCCAGAAGCATTCTCTCCTGACATTTTGCCCACATCAATGGCAGGCATCCTCATAGATTGTGAAGTCTGTTGGAAACTAGGAAAATTGGATGTCCAGGGTGGGAGAAAGAACTCTTGTCTGTTTGAGGTAGGTGTTAATGTTTCAATTGGACACCATGATTAGCATTTAATGGCCTGACAGTTTCAAGGTCAGGCTTCTTACTTCATAACAGTAAATAAAGAACAACACTCAAAAATAGGGGAATTCCAGACAAGAAGCAATCAGGGCCAGCTAATCACCTCCCAACAAAGGTTCCCCTCAGGCAGGAAGCAGCCAAGCCTTGAAGTTGCAAGGCCATTAAATGCTAACAAGATGGCCAATTGACACCTACCTCAAACAGACAAGGGTTCTTTCTCCCACCCTGGACATTCCACAGAAATATAAACCCCATTTTACTAGTTTCCAACAGACCTCACAACTTCTGAGGATTCCTGCCATAGATGCAGGCAAAATGTCAGGAGAGAATGCTTCTGGAACATGGCCAGACAGCCTGGAAAACTCACAACAACTCAGCCAGAATCTTCAAAAATGGAATGCACTGCTAACAATGGATGACTTGTAATTGCTGGTGGTAGATGTTGATTGTGTGGGGAATTATTAACTAGTTAACACTGTATGCCTTTCAACAAATACATGAATATTTTTCTGATGCAAATGATATGGAAGGAAGTGAATTATGTGTGTATGTTTCTTTGCATTTTGTGTCAGAAAGTACAAATTTGGTGTTAGAACTGCACTTCATGACATCATTTTAGTCTCTGGAAATATAAATAGCAATAAAATAAAGATTTTATAAACCTGTTATTTATACATTGTGCTGCTTGAAAAAATTAGATTTTTCCTGTTGACATTTCCAAGTAAAATTGAATATTGAAGCAATGGAATTAACATGTTGATTTGCCATCCGATAATAAATTGAGTGTGTCTATTCTCATTCAGACAGCTAATATGAATTAGGCTTAAATGAGATAGGATAGGATGGCCTGCTGTGGTGGAATCTTCATTTACCTGTAGCAGGTAAGGGTAACTGCAGAGGCGCCCATCACTCCCTGGCTCCCCACATCTACAGCAAGATTAAGAAGGTGATTGAAAGGAGATCACGTTTCTTCCTGTTGCCACTTTTGGAAGGACTGCAGAGGAAAAGAGGATTTGAAAGTTGTATGGGATTTGGGGGTACTTGTAGGAAGGGAGGTGGTTTTGCATGTTTTCATTCATCTCGGAATGAAATGGTTTTGGGGAAAACTGTTAAAAATCAAAACAATATAGATAGGGGGAGGGGGCTTTGAGGGACTGGTGAGGGGTTTCAGGAGACATAATGAGAACAGGGATCTTATAGTAGACATCAGTCCTACACATTGCCCACCCTGATCTACAAGGACAAAGTTCCGCTCATAGAAGTGTTACTTCTGGAGAATGTAGATAGATTTTTTTTTCTCAACCTTAAGTTCAAAATGTTGGTATCATCCAACCAAAACATAATATTTCACATAGCATATAAATGATTGAGTTCACTGTCCCAAGGTGTTGCTCCTAATATAGAATACAGTAGAGTCTTGCTTATCCAAACTTCGCTTGTCCGACATTCCGTCTTATCCGACACTCTTATCTGACACCCCCTTTTCCTCCAGCATTTCTCCTTCCACTAAAGGAGTGCTCCCCAACTCTCTCTCTATTCCCAATAAGTGAAAAGGGCAAGACTAGGAGGAGAAGGGAGGAAAGTGGGAAAAGAGGCAGGACCGGAAGCAGAAGCATCCTCCCTCCTTCCCTCTGTGGTTTCCACGCTCCTCATCCACATCCAGGCACTTTCTGCTGGGCCACTCTAGCCCCGGGGTGTTGCTTTGCCTTAACCTTTTGAGTCCCTGTTGTTAGTTTTCTAGGTATCTAGTGCTGCGTCGGACAGATAACAGTAGGAGACTCCATATTATCTGACATTTTCATTTATCCGACATTCTGCCGGTCCGTTTATGCCAGATAAGCGAGACTACTGTAGCTTCCGTTGTGCCTTTGGAGAGTGACCATATACTTCTTTCTTGTTGTTCCTCCCATAATGTTGTCCTCATATTGCATTTCCCTCCACCTTTCTGAAGGCCTGTCTCCACTATTCCGAACCCTACAAGCTCCTCCCTTACAAAGATACCTTTTTTTATTTTGTATCTCATCCAGGGTTTTATCATTTTATGTCATACATGTGGCCCGCCCATTGCATTTGATTTTTCATTTTGTTACTTTGAACTGTTTTATTGTACTTTTATGTTTTTACTTATTTTATTGTGATGTTATTTTTGTCGTTCTGTATTTATTTTGCTGTAATGTATTACCGGGCTTGGGCTCATGTAAGCCACCTCGAGTCCCCTTTGGGGAGATGGTGGCAGGGTATAAATAAGGTTTATTATTATTTATTATAGCTTTAATTATATAAAATGAAATTGTTATGTAATGCCAGGACCACCTAATCCCCTGCAATGGAGGAATATACAATTAAAGCACATTCAATCTCAGGAGTGGGTGGAGAAAATTAGAGAAATAAAGGATATAGACGAATTGACTTTTTTGTTGAAGAAAAACACAGGCAAGATAATGAGAAGAACAAATTGGGACGATCTTCAAGACAATCTGGACAATGTGAGAAAATAAAAAACAAGAGAGACAATTCTACTATCTCTTTTCTCCTTTTAGTAAGAAAAAATATTTTTGAGTAATAAGAAAATAATAACCAAGAAGATGGAATGGAAGTCACTTTTTTGTTTTTAGTGTGTTTTTTGTGTTTTTGCCTTTTTTCCATTTTGCTTTTTGTGTGAGTATTTTTGTAGAATGTGTTTTATCTTTATCTCTTCTTTCCCTCCCCTCATTTTTCTATACTTTTATTGTTTTCACTCTTTTGTTGTATTCTTTATAAAATCTAATAAAAAATTTTTAAAAAGCACATTCAATCTCTTCTGTCCATATGCGGGCATAACAGAAGTTTGCACTTGTGTATGTCAACACAGACAATTTCAGTCAATACATTCACATGGGAACCTTCTCATCTACCTATACAATTCTTTCATACAGAAATTGAGACACTGGAAGTAGTACGACACTATGCAAGTTTCTTAAGTTTCCTTTTCACATTGGACCTACCTCTCTATGTTTGCGGTATTGAGAGTGTTTGGGTCCAAGATGTGGACAATGGCTCACAGCCCAGATTACATTTCCATTAATAAAGCACAAGCAAATTCTAGTGGAGTAGAAATGGATTTTGCCAAACCACTAATTGCTGTGTTTAAGCAGTTAATGCCTGCCCTTGTGTGACTGACAGATTACTTCCATACCATACATTAGGAACTTTTTCTGTCAGGGGAGTATAGAAAAGTAAAAAATGGATTTTCTTTGTCTTTCAGTTTAGTCTGCTTTCTATCACCAAATGAAAATATTTCATGCTACAAACCCAGTCTCCTTAGAGAGTGATATTCAATATCCCTTGTTTCTGATGAGAGTTTTAAACATGGAGCCATTTATTATCCGTGTTTTGCAGTATTTTAATCTATGCAATGTCTTAAGATGATCCTTCTCTCTTATAGAATAGGCTATAATTTGCTTTTCAAAAAAGGACTTAAGCCTACTGAGAGTCTCAACTTCAGTAGGTCCAGTAAATTAATGGGATTTCCAATAATTTATATATTTTTTATTTATTTGCAGTATTTATATCCTACCATCCCCCCCCTCCCCCAAAGGGGACTCAATAAGTGTTGGGTCAGCCCAGCAACTTATTTAAATACTCCAAGCTAGGAAATGATATCTGCAGCACTTTCCCAGTAGTCAAGCATACAATCAGTGAAGCGTAAATTTGCAGTTACACTGAGAAATCAGCAACATCTATTCCTGAGCGGTTCTAATCTGGCATATTAATATGGCACATTAGCCATGCCTTGGCTCCATCATACTTAAACACCTACTACAGGCTGTGCAAGGGGTAGCCTTTGAAAAGTGTCCAGCAAGTTCAGAGGGTATAATGGTACTGAAATCATATTATACCAATGTTTTAAAAAACCTGAACTGTTTGCTCAGTTGTATGGTCAGCTCTCTTCAGGGTGTTAGTTTTATCCTTCAAAGCCCTAAAAAGCTATCTCAGGGGTTCTGCAGGGAAGGTCATTTCTGCCAGAAGAAGCATAATATTTGGGTATAAAAGTAAGGGAGATATATTATGAAATTGTTTTCTTCAAGTATGTTTACCTTCTTTCGGCCTTCAAAAGGAAGATATCCTTTAGAGTTGTTTATCGTGGCACGTTTTAAAAAGTTTTCTTAGTGAAACATTTGTGAACCCACCTATGAGCATCTGGCAAAAAGTATTGTAGAAGCATTCTTAATAAACAATATATTTTATTATCAGTAGCTAGAATTAATACGGTTAAGGCAGGCATGTAGCCGGGGGGGGGGGGGGGG